AAAAAACTGGTGACTTTCATTTAGTATTTTGTTATCATAATTTGGAACTCATCCATTTAGTGGATTTTAATGGCTCATAAAATAATTTTTGTTGCTACTGTTTTACGACTCATTTACCTGGAAGCTTTTTATATCTACAGTAATGGTTTTTTGNTCAATTATTATATGTTTTAAAACCAAATTATTTTAACTCTAACAGATTTTTCCTTACAAAATTTTAAATATCTGGGACGATTTAGTCCCAGCAGGCCTGAAAGGGTTAAAAAATAAAACGAATTGACTCTAAAANGCTGCCAAAAAAAAGTTTGCACTAACAAAGCTTAATAGAAAATTAAATTAGCTAATTTATTTATAATTTTAAAAATATTTTTTTGTATTAAAAATGTCTTGCAGGCAGAATAGAGTATAAATTCAATGTTAAATTGACCATTTGAAAATGATTGTAAAATGTAACAATCAAATAGAAAACTAATAAAGCCAATTTTATTTGTCAGTGAGAAATTCAAGATCAGTAAATCGCTCAATAAGTTTAAAGGGAAGGTCTTTCTGTCGTTTGAGCTCTTGATTGTGAGTTCGAATTACCAAAACTGCAACCAGACCAGCACTTTCAGCAGCTTTCAGCTCTGTGGTAGTAGAGAAAAATAACTTTTAGAGAGTCTTTTCAACTTGTCGACNGGGAAGGTCTTTCTGTCGTTTGAGCTCTTGATTGTGAGTTCGAATTACCAAAACTGCAACCAGGCCAGCACTTTCAGCAGCTTTCAGCTCTGTGGTAGTAGAGAAAAATAACTTTTAGAGAGTCTTTTCAACTTGTCGACAACAATTCAAAGCTACACGACAACAACGACAACAATAGCTACCTTTAATACTATCAGATAGAAAGAGAATGTTTGCTCGAGATTCCTTGATCTGTCGAGCTATTTCACGATAACTGGCCGGGTCGTCTTTGCGTCCCTGATGGTCGGCGTCAAAGAATGAGTAGATGATTGTGCGCAAGTTGCCATGCAGTGTTCGAGTGAGGAGCATTTCCTGTGCCAGACGATAGCCCGATGCAAATGTGCACAGTTTGATTTTGTGCTTGTGCCAGCTTTTGAAGGCAATCGCCACGTCTTGGTACACGTGCCCTGGAGGAAGTGCAGAGAACAGGGAGAAATAAGCAGAGCAGTCAACCGATCAAGTGTCATCGCATTCTTCCCAGTGAAACTCGGCTTTGTTTACCTTTCAACTTTTCAGTCTGATAGCCGTACAGCCAAACGAGTAGAACAATCGCCTTCAGCTGAGTGCTGCTCTTCTTGTTGGCCAGCTGATAGCGAAGATTGCGCTCCACGCTGTCGATGATCTTCGCCCGTGGCTGGTCATCGCCGTAGATCAGCGGCATTTGGTGTTCATTCTTCTCCGCCCAGCGCTCGTGGGCGTACAGTCGCATCATCTGGACGACGTCATCACACTCCGGCCGCTGCCACCACTCTTCCAGACAGGCGGCGACGTTGTCGAGGACAAAGGGCGCCAGAACGTCCTGCCAGAAGCGAAGGGACGTGATGGCGCCCTCAATGTCGGTGACGATGGCTGCTGGCTTGCTAAGACGCACCGGAGGCATGCTCTCCCAATAGTAGGTTTACAAGTGAATGCTCACAATTCTTTTAATTTATAGTCATTTTTAGTTTATTCGTTTTTAAACATTTGTTGATCAATTGATTTAGAATTTAAATGAACAGCCTAATCAGTACTTTCCTTTGCGATACTCCCATAAACTTTTCATTTCATCGACTTTTCCATCTTCAATGACAATAGGCTTGCCGTCAATGGCATCAAAGATAGAGCCATCAAAGCTTAGACCACCGAATTCAAGCTTCCCAATTGACTTTGATCGAGGAACTTCAGGAATTATAGAGTTTCTTTTTACTTCCTTCGATAAACTTTTCCTTTTTAACTTGACAATATCTTCATGAATCACAGTTATCTTTCAATTTGTGAAAATTCAGAATAAAGTGAAAAATTAATTAAAATTATAAAGTACAAATAATGAAACATTACTTCGCAATAAAGAGTGAGTTTATCGTCTTCATTAGCTATAAATCCATTAGTCAAATCAAGCAAATCTTTTTTCAATATAAATTCACGCCACCCCCACCCTTCTCCTCTTGAAAATGTCCGGCAATTCTCTAAATTAGCACAATGATTTATTAAAAGTTTTTAATTAAAGTTATTCATTGTCTGTGTTAAAATGACTTACCCTCAAAATTGCACTTTTCTCTGAGAGTATTGATGATCCAGAACTTGTATTTCAAAATCACATTAGGTTTTGCACAACAAGGCATGTACAGAAACACTGAAACAAAGTCTTTACACTCTTCATCTTCTCCATTTGGAACCAGTTCTAGGTAGAATTTCACTGATAATTGGTTGGTGTATTCACTTTGAGCAGTGTATTTGGGAAAGTTTTCAGAGAATATCGTTTCTGGACCATGATAATCTGTTGTAAAGTACTGACTTATATTTTCGATCGTCCAAGTATGAGTGAATGTTTCTGAGTGTTCATTTTCTAGACAAGTGGAATATTCGGTGCAATTTTGTATCTGCTCATTTACATCTTCAGGCCAAATGTTGTCAATTTGATGTTTATTGACGAGACTCATATTTTCTACTTAAGTTTTGAAAAGTTGATAAAATGTGATATGTGTTTTACAGCGCTGCAGACTCACGCTAACTGCTCACTTAGAGAAACATCAGGGGACTCTTAAAATAGATCGCTGAAATCTTGATTCAAGAAAAACGTGTTGTTCAAAATTGGCGTCATTACAAAAATCTCAATATCACACTTCAAAACGACCTACTAAGTAATCTAAAAAGTTTTCAGATATTTAAGATTTTTAAAAATGCAATTTTTTGTTTTAACAATACACAAGTTAAATTAATAAATCAGGCTATTAAAAAAATAAAACGACATGTCAAAAAACTTTTGTTATGTAAACCGCTCGGTGTTTTATATAAACTGCTTGTAAGTAGTTGGTAATTATTTATTTTTTACAAGCTGAATTTTCTAATAATATCCTTACATTAATATCATACAGATTGTGTCAAATGAATTCTTAATTTAAATTATTCAACAAATTGAGGAATTTACATCTATACGTGCATGAACTTTAGATAATCATTCATTTCTGTTTGACTTTTAATTTTTTATTTTATTGTTTAATTTAAAAAATTTTGGCCTAGAAGTTAAATTTCACAAACAATAGGAAATTGTTTTTGACAAAATTTTGTTTCTGTCTGATAATTAAATTTTGGTTTTTGGATTTAGAATACAAAATATATATTTTTTTGCTTACTAAGTTGATATTTTTTGTAATGTACTAAAATAACTAAACAAGTTAAAATAATACAAAAGTAACACACATTAAACGAATATAAATTAGCTGACAAGACTGTAAAGAACAAATATTATCATTTTTGTTCGAATGTTATTTTGAAAAAGATTCTAAAAATAAGTAAGTGATTGACAAAAAATAAGCTTTTATTTAAATATTAAAACACTACACAAAAATTTCCATAAACAACCCTGTTCAAAATAAAAGGCATTGTGAGTTTGTGAAAAATCATTTCTAGTTAAAAGGTAATTTAAATCAAATTAAGACAATAAACACAAAATAAAATATTTTTTTCAAACACTGATTGACAGAAATAAAATTGTATACAGATTTTTCAAAAAACTCGTCGATCAAAAATAGATTAAATTAACAAAGTTAAAAAATAAATAAAATTGTTAAAAAAATAGCGTTAAATAAACTAAATATGTGTCTGTTTTTACTTTGTTAACATTTTTAGTGGCAAATTGTGAAGTGTTTGCTAAAATTTGCATAGGTAAATTATTGATTTTTTTGTCAGTTTAAAACTGAAACTAGTGAAAAACCAGCGTTGAAACAATTCTTAATATCATTACAATAATCTAGTCCAGATAAAAAATAAATTTAATTTAATTATTTTGTGGATTATGTGAAAATAGAGATGAACAAGGAAATGCACTCTACGTTTTGTACAATTTATTTTATACCTTTATTTTTGCAAAAAGCCGTTTTTTACAAAATAGATTTAATTTTTTGAGCTAGTAATGTTGGTGTTTTTGTGGTAAACAAAAAATAAAAAACGTTTGTTTTGAAAAGATAACCAATGTTTTTCTAAATGTGTTTAAAAGTTTAAAATAAAAAATTGTAGTTTTTTTTATCAAAACAGATTTTGCAACATTTTTATCATTGTTAGACATATAACAAAATGTTTTAAATTTCAACAATGTAAAAGTGGTTAAAATATTAGCACTTAA